CACAGACTGATGAAGGAGGTGAAGCACAGACTGATGAAGGAGGTGAAGAACAGACTGGGACAGACTGATGGAGGAGGTGAAGGACAAACTGATGGAGGAGGCGAAGGACAGACTGATGAAGGAGGTGAAGGACAGACTGATGCAGGAGATGAAGGACAGACTGATGGAGGAGGTAAAGCACAGAGTGATGAAGGAGGTGAAGGACAGACTGATGCAGGAGGTGAAGCACAGACTGATGCAGGAGGTGAAGCACAGACTGATGCAGGAGGTGAAGAACAGACTGATGCAGGAGGTGAAGCACAGACTGATGCAGGAGGTGAAGCACAGACTGATGCAGGAGGTGAAGAACAGACTGATGCAGGAGGTGAAGGACAGACTGATGCAGGAGGCGAAGGACAGACTGATGCAGGAGGTGAAGGACAGACTGATGCAGGAGGTGAAGCACAGAGTGATGAAGGAGGTGAAGCACAGACTGAAGCACAGACTGATGCAGGAGGTGAATGACAGACTGATGGAGGAGGTGAAGGACAGACTGATGCAGGAGGTGAAGGACAGACTGATGCAGGAGGTGAAGCACAGACTGATGCAGGCGGTGAAGGACAGGCTGATGCAGGAGGTGAAGGATAGACTGATGAAGGAGGTGAAGGACAGACTGATGAAGGAGGTGAAGCACAGACTGATAAAGGAGGTGAAGAACAGACTGATGCAGGAGGTGACGAACAGACTGATGCAGGAGGTGAAGCACAGACTGATGCACGAGGTGAAGGATAGACTGATGGAGGAGGTGAAGAATAGACTGATGCAGGAGGTGAAGGACAGACTGATGCAGGAGGTGAAGGACAGACTGATGGAGGAGGTGAAGGACAGACTGATGCAGGAGGTGAAGCACAAACTGATGAAGGAGGTGAAGGACAGACTGATGAAGGAGGTGAAGGACAGACTGATGCAGGAGGTGAAGGACAAACTGATGAAGGAGGTGAAGAACAGACTGAAGCAGGAGGTGAAGCACAGACTGATGAAGGAGGTGAAGGACAGACTGGGACAGACTGATGGAGGAGGTGAAGGACAAACTGATGGAGGAGGCGAAGGACAGACTGATGGAGGAGGTAAAGCACAGAGTGATGAAGGAGGTGAAGGACAGACTGATGCAGGAGGTGAAGGACAGACTGATGAAGGAGGTGAAGGACAGACTGATGCAGGAGGTGAAGGACAGACTGATGAAGGAGGTGAAGGACAGACTGATGCAGGAGGTAAAGGACAGACTGATGCAGGAGGTGAAGCACAGATTGATGAAGGAGGTGAAGGACAGACTGATGCAGGAGGTGAAGCACAGACTGATGCAGGAGGTAAAGCACAGAGTGATGAAGGAGGTGAAGCACAGACTGATGAAGGAGGTGAAGCACAGACTGATGAAGGAGGTGAAGGACAGACTGATGCAGGAGGTGAAGGAAAGACTGATGCAGGAGGTGAAGCACAGACTGATGCAGGAGTTGAAGCACAGACTGATGCAGGAGGTGAAGCACAGACTGATGCAGGAGGTGAAGGACAGACTGATGCAGGAGGTGAAGCACAGACTGATGCAGGAGGTGAAGGACAGACTGATGCAGGAGGTGAAGCACAGACTGATGCAGGAGGTGAAGGACAGACTGATGCAGGAGGTGAAGCACAGACTGATGCAGGAGGTGAAGGACAGACTGATGCAGGAGGTGAAGCACAGACTGATGCAGGAGGTGAAGGACAGACTGATGCAGGAGGTGAAGCACAGACTGATGCAGGAGGTGAAGCACAGACTGATGGAGGAGGTGAAGGACAGACTAATGCAGGAGGTGAAGCACAGACTGATGGAGGAGGTGCACTTTATAGATCAGGGGTGCTCCCACTTTTTCAGCATGCGAGCTACTTATAAAATGATCAAGTCAAAATGATCTACCTACTATAAAAATGCAAAACATATATATATTTCTAAATATATTGAGGATTCTTTATATCTACAATGTATGTTGATGTACATGCAAAACCGCATGATTTATGAAATAATTTGCATTTAAGCACCGCCTCTGGCGGTCATCCAGGATTCATAGAACCAAAGTTACATTCGTAACTTTCGTTCTGTAGCGGTACTGTCATAGTAGAAACTCAGGGTGAAGACGTGTTATCAGGGCTGGACTGGGACAATAAAACGGCCCGGGCATTTTTTCCTTCTTACCGGCCCAGGCATGTTTTTGTCACGTTTTTTACACTTTGTTTATACCAGGGATCTGCAACTCAAAAGGTTCAAAGAGCCATATTTGACAAAAAATACTAAAAACATCTGTCTGGAGCCGCAAAAAAATAACAGCCTTGTATAAAGCTTATATGAAGGTTACACAATGTAGCTACATTAGCTACATTAGCCTATTATCTAAATGACCAAGTAAAGGCTACAAATACATGATTAGCATTCATGATTGTCAAATGTGTGTTTTCACTGCAGCGTGTCCTGGAGAGAATGACGCACCACGTGATGACTCTGCTTTAACTTCATGCAACTGTAGAAATACAGTAAATAAATCTGCTTTTTGGCTCAAAGGTCACACACCTGCACTGTCCGCTCATATCGATTACGTCACAGGCTGAAGTTTGCTGGAGCTGAATGTCCTTAATGGCCTTTTCCTTCACAGTCTTTGCAAAGGTTTTGAAGTCTGAAAAAGGTGCTCCGGATTTTGTATGAAAGAATCCTTCACGTAATCCCTGTGAACGGTATTTAGTGCTTCATTGTTATGGAGCTTTCGCGAAAGTTCACCGTGGTAGACCCGGCTGTTGCTGCCAGGCCACAGGCTGCTCTTCCTCGACTCATCAATACCAGCAACGCCCACACCCAGTCAACCAATAACCACCAGGACAGCAAGTTAAAAGCCGGAGACGCCCACTTCCCGATCTTCTGAAGTCTGCAAGCCGCCGCCGCCCCACCTCCTCCTTCTCGCATGAAGCGTGTTGCCTACTGCCTCTGCCGTCACCAGTGCCTAGGCCCCGGGGGGATCATGCACGCGAGCAAGCGCCGTGCTCAACAGCATCCCGCCCGGGCCTAGGGCGCCAAACGTGCTCAATCAATAAACATGCTTAAATCTAATAAGTCTAATGCGTTTTCCTCATGGGTCTCTCCAAGGTGAACCTCGTGTTGCAACAAAACTTCCTATTACATCGCAAACATGAAGCAGTCCTTCCTCATTGACTGAAAGCAAATGTTCAGTCTTGTTCTTAGTCCAGTCTTATTATTGACTCGTTCTCTTTTTATCTTTGGGGTCCGTGCGCACACGCCGGTTTGTTTACAGCAGCGGCCGCCTGGCACGGGGCCGCGCCGCAGGATATGACTCACTACGTTGACAGAAATGTTGAAATTGAATATTACTTATACACATTTTTACAGCATTGAAATACGTTAGGAATGTTTTTCCTCCTACAGAAACCACATTCAAACTAGGAATAAAATATAGCCCTCACACTCCATTTTCAGACATTTTTGAAAAGGCTTCAGGAGCCACTGGAGGAGCACTAAAGGTTGCCGACCCCTGTTTTATACAGTATGTGGAAGCAAGTACTGTAGAGGATCAGGATGTCTACAGTTTCAACAGAAAAATAAAGTGCAATAGTCTACATTAAACAGAGTAATAAACATGTCTCAGAGTGAGGGAGGTGGACACAGACAACACTATTGTTTGTTACAGGGATGAGAATTGGTCAAAAAAGTCTGAAATGCATAATGTCAGCCATTGGCTGGCTCTAAATCTGTTTAATTGTTTCACAACATTTTACTTTTGGGCTCAAACATGAACTTTTAATGCAATGGAAAATTTAGGCACCCGAGCTTTAATTTAGTCGCACTTCGAGAGGAGAGGGGAGACGCGGACTGTTTTCTGCAGCGGTGTATTTATTGGGTGCACAAATTACGCAAAGACACGCATGGTCCTGTGCGCGTTTATGGTCTTGGGTATATGGTCACGTTGCGGCTACGCGCTCACCGTGTTGTGTTGTGAGCGGTTCCCGGTGAGCGGTTCCTGCGTCCAGCTCAGAGCCGCTGGATACGGGAACACTGCGGCCGCTGAGGTGGTGGAATCCCGTTCGAGTACATACAGCAGGTGCCCCGCGGACACGCGCGCTCCCCACAGACATTTCTCAACTGATTTACACTTTTCACAAACATGTTTTTTGTATGAGGCAGACAGACCGGCCCAAATATGGGCATCGGCCCTTCTGGCATTGCCCGGTACGCCCGATGGCCAGTCCAGCCCTGCGTGTTATTATAGATCCAGGTGAAGACATATGTTTACAAGCATTGACCCCAGTCCTCAGCCCTGGTTTGATCCTGGTTTAGCTCCTGTTTTGGTTGTTTTCGAGCGTGTGTGATCACTTTGCTGCTCTCTGATGTGGAGCGAGGATCGCTGCTGTGAACCGCTGTTAAGGCAGTATGATCCATGCTTTAGTGATCAGAGGTCGCACGTTTTGTTTGTTGTTGTTGTTGTTGTTTTGGGGGCAAACTGTGCCGTGCAAAAACGCAAAACTCCGGTTATCTCTGTCCACACGCAAATGCATAAACGGATTAAAAAAATATATATATGTAATGCGATCTTCCAATACTACCTTTGCGATCGACTGGTAGATCGCGATCGACGTATTGAGCACCCCTGTTATAGATAGATGTTTTTGAAAGATTGATATTGAAGCGTTTACAGCTAAGAAACAGCAGCTCCTTACTTTGTAAATATAGTGTCCTCCCTGTGTTTCTCCTGTCCTGTCAGTGCGCTGCAACACTGAAATTTCCCCCCTCCCCACTGTGGGAAGAACAAAGGATCTCTCATTGTGTCTTATCTGCCGTGTATCTCAGGCCCACGGTCACATGTCCAGGGTCACGGATGTGTCTGAATCACACGTGGAATCTGAGAAAAAGCACATGGCTTCATTAAAAATGCAAATCAGGTTTGAACCGAGATTAGTGAAAGTTTAAGACGAGAAATGATGAAATTCTAGTGAAATAAATGATTGAATGTTACGAGTTCGAAGTGTTTGAAGTGATGTTGGTCTCTTTATCAAACTGACTTCATGCCTTAAACACAGACACACACACACGCACATACAGGTCCACATACGCACATACAGGTCCACACACACATGCACATACAGGTACACAAACACAGGTCCACATACAGACACACACACACAGGTACACATGCATACACACACGCAGGTCCACATACACATGCACATACAGGTACACACACACACACACGCACATACAGGTCTACACACACACACACACACACACACAGGCACACACACAGGTTCACATACAGACACACACGCACATACAGGTACACATACAGACACACATACAGGTACATGCACACACACACAGGTCCACATACAGACACACACACACACACGCACATACAGGTACACATACAGACACACACACACACTCACACACATACAGACACACACACACACACACACACACTCACACACATACAGGTACACGCACACACACACACTTGCACATACAGGTACACATAGACACACAGACACACACACACAGACACACACACACACACACACACACATACACACACACACATACAGCCCAGACTTGGCTCAGACTTCAGTTTGTGTCCAGCTGTGGTCACTGTTCGGAGCTGCTGGAAAACAAGCCTAACCCATGCCTCCCCCCTCCTCCTCCCCCCTCCCCCCCCCCCCCCCTCCTCCCCCTCCTCTCCACTGCCTCCCCTCCCCTGCCTCCCCCCTCCTCCTCCCCCCTCCTCCCCCCCCTCCTCCCCCCTCCTCTCCACTGCCTCCCCCCTCCTCCTCCCCCACTGCCTCCCCCCCCCTCCTCACCAGTTAAAATCCCCCATTCTCCTGTTTGCTCCAATTTGTCACTTTTCTTGAAACCCATTGTCTTTGAAACGTTTCCTGAGAGCTGTGGAGAAAATGTGAAGACAGTGAAGATGTGCAGCTTTAATGTATTTATTTATATAGCACAACTCATACGCATGTCGACTCTGCTTCACAAACAACAGAAAAGAAAACCATGACGACGATACATAATAATCACAGAGAAACATGTACAGAGACCAGTATCAAAGATGGACTTCCACATTTCTTAACATGCCCATATTTGGTCATCTGTCAGTGGGGTTTCCTGGAGCGAAAAGGATGTTTTTGACCCATTTTTCATAAAAAGTTGAGATCTGATCCAAGAAGAGACCTTTCGTTATTGGTCCCACAGCAGAGAAATGTCAGTGTTGCATCGCTACAGACCAGAGACTGAGGAGCAGCACAAGAACAGTCATTATAAACTAAAATAACATCAAATATTTAACTTTAGCAAAATAAGGACGTGTAAAATCTCTAACTTCACTGGGCACACCTGCAGGGGAACGCTGTCAGACCTCTGGAGCTCAGCAGGGCAGGGCCTGGTTAGTACTATGATGGGAGACCTCTGGGAACAGCAGGTGCCACAGTGGGGCGGCTGTGGCTGTAAAGTGCCAAACTGTGGTTGTGTCCTTAGGCAAGACACTTCCCCCACATTAGAATGAGTCTGGTGTGTGTGTGAATGGTTGGTGGTGGTGGGAGGGGCCTCGCTTCTGTCAGTGTGCCCCAGGGCAGCTGTGGCTACTGTAGTAGTTTATCACCACTGTGTTTGGAGAAAGAGAATAAGGATGTGAAGAGACTTTGAGCGTCCAAGTTCAGACCTGCTTTAGTCCAAGATCAAACCTGCTTTAGTCCAAGATCAGGCCTGCTTTAGTCCAAGATCAGGCCTGCTTTAGTCCAAGATCAGGCCTGCTTTAGTCCAAGATCAGACCTGCTTTAGTCCAAGATCAGGCCTGCTTTAGTCCAAGATCAGACCTGCTTTAGTCCAAGCTCAGACCTGCTTTAGTCCAAGATCAGACCTGCTTTAGTCCAAGTTCAGACCTGCTTTAGTCCAAGATCAAACCTGCTTTAGTCCAAGATCAGGCCTGCTTTAGTCCAAGATCAGGCCTGCTTTAGTCCAAGATCAGGCCTGCTTTAGTCCAAGATCAGACCTGCTTTAGTCCAAGCTCAGACCTGCTTTAGTCCAAGATCAGACCTGCTTTAGTCCAAGATCAGACCTGCTTTAGTCCAAGTTCAGACCTGCTTTAGTCCAAGATCAGACCTGCTTTAGTCCAAGATCAGACCTGCTTTAGTCCAAGCTCAGACCTGCTTTAGTCCAAGATCAGACCTGCTTTAGTCCAAGTTCAGACCTGCTTTAGTCCAAGATCAGACCTGCTTTAGTCCAAGTTCAGACCTGCTTTAGTCCAAGTCCAGACCTGCTTTAGTCCAAGTTCAGACCTGCTTTAGTCCAAGTCCAGACCTGCTTTAGTCCAAGATCAGACCTGCTTTAGTCCAAGATCAGACCTGCTTTAGTCCAAGTTCAGGCCTGCTTTAGTCCAAGTTCAGACCTGCTTTAGTCCAAGTTCAGGCCTGCTTTAGTCCAAGATCAGACCTGCTTTAGTCCAAGATCAGACCTGCTTTAGTCCAAGTTCAGATCTGCTTTAGTCCAAGATCAGACCTGCTTTAGTCCAAGTTCAGACCTGCTTTAGTCCAAGTTCAGATCTGCTTTAGTCCAAGATCAGACCTGCTTTAGTCCAAGTTCAGACCTGCTTTAGTCCAAGTTCAGGCCTGCTTTAGTCCAAGATCAGACCTGCTTTAGTCCAAGTTCAGACCTGCTTTAGTCCAAGTCCAGACCTGCTTTAGTCCAAGTTCAGACCTGCTTTAGTCCAAGTCCAGACCTGCTTTAGTCCAAGATCAGACCTGCTTTAGTCCAAGTTCAGGCCTGCTTTAGTCCAAGATCAGACCTGCTTTAGTCCAAGTTCAGACCTGCTTTAGTCCAAGATCAGGCCTGCTTTAGTCTAAGTTCAGACCTGCTTTAGTCCAAGATCAGACCTGCTTTAGTCCAAGTCCAGATCTGCTTTAGTCCAAGATCAGACCTGCTTTAGTCCAAGTTCAGGCCTGCTTTAGTCCAAGATCAGACCTGCTTTAGTCCAAGTTCAGACCTGCTTTAGTCCAAGTTCAGACCTGCTTTAGTCCAAGTTCAGACCTGCTTTAGTCCAAGATCAGACCTGCTTTAGTCCAAGTCCAGACCTGCTTTAGTCCAAGATCAGACCTGCTTTAGTCCAAGATCAGGCCTGCTTTAGTCCAAGATCAGACCTGCTTTAGTCCAAGTTCAGACCTGCTTTAGTCAGTGGCGGCCGGCCAATAGAGGGCGCTAGGGCGCCGCCCCACCACTCACAACTTGCCATGTTACCTTGAATAAAACGTTAAAAAAAATAATAACACTAAAATATTTCGAAATTTATGTGTGTTTTATTTCAGATGTGGAAGAAATACTTTATAGTTTATGCTGAGTTGGATTGATTAAGCTCATCAGCGTTGTCTGTGTCGGACTGAGGACGTATTTCCGCCTTTTTGCGCCCTGAGCCGTCTATGGACTCTCGTTAAAAGTTGTACATGCGCAGTAGCTCCTCTTCAATGCAAGAGATAAGACGATTTGGGGGCGCAGGAGAAATGCGCCCTGAGGGGGCGGGATCGCCCGCGACCTGTACTGTCACTGTCTGTGACGTCCGTTTACAGTGATTGACAGGTCAAGCTGTGGGAGTTTGAGACGAACGTAAAGAGACGCAAAATGTAGAACGAGAAAAAGAATAATTCAGTTAGATCACTCAAAACAATACCGTTTGAGAGAAGATCATACCAGGAGAAGGTTGAGGTTAAAGAGCTTGGACCTGATCAGCCAAATATTACCATTAGTCAGCAGTCCAGCGACAGGGGGAGACGGTACACTCGTACTTTTTCCAGGACCTGGTTCAGCGCCAAATCTTGGCTAGCAGCATGTAGCGAGGCTAATGCTTTATTTTGCTTTCCATGCCTCTTGTTTCAAACATCAGGATCTGACCCAGCATGGATCAAGACAGGTATGACTGATCTGAAGCACTTTTTAGAAAAGGCAAAGAAGCATGAGCAGACTGGTATCCACATGCAAAATGCCCTCAAATTAGCTATGTTTGGGAAGATAAATGTTTCATCCCAGCTGGATGAAAGCTACAGGGTAGGGATCAGAAAGCACAATGAGGAGGTTGACAAGAATAGGCACATCCTATCAAAAATAATAGACTGTGTCAAATTCATAGCCCCCCCAGTAGAAAATTCCACCAGCCGCCACTGGCTTTAGTCCAAGTCCAGACCTGCTTTAGTCCAAGATCAGACCTGCTTTAGTCCAAGTTCAGACCTGCTTTAGTCCAAGTCCAGACCTGCTTTAGTCCAAGATCAGACCTGCTTTAGTCCAAGATCAGACCTGCTTTAGTCCAAGTTCAGGCCTGCTTTAGTCCAAGATCAGACCTGCTTTAGTCCAAGTTCAGGCCTGCTTTAGTCCAAGATCAGACCTGCTTTAGTCCAAGTTCAGACCTGCTTTAGTCCAAGTTCAGGCCTGCTTTAGTCCAAGATCAGACCTGCTTTAGTCCAAGTTCAGACCTGCTTTAGTCCAAGTCCAGACCTGCTATAGTCCAAGATCAGACCTGCTTTAGTCCAAGTTCAGACCTGCTTTAGTCCAAGTCCAGACCTGCTTTAGTCCAAGATCAGACCTGCTTTAGTTCAAGTTCAGACCTGCTTTAGAGATTTTTGGTTCAGTTTCATATATTTCCTTCTCTCATACAGACCGGTCTAGTTCCTGGTCTAGTTCCTGGTCTAGTTCCTGGTCTAGTTCCTGGTCTTTCAACACCGAGCGAGAGGTTACGGAGCGTCAGACATTCTGGGACTGAAATATTGCATCATATCTTCTGCCACGGCTCTGAGATGAATTAAAAGACATTATCTTTGGAATGAGCAGTTGGAAATAGCCCGGTCAATTAAAAGCTGATAAAGATCCGTGGCTTCTGCAGAGACAGAGCTGTTACTGTCGTCTCTCTTTCTGTATTCCCACGTTATTTCTCTGTAATATATTCTGTCTGTGTTGGAGCTCGTAACCCGCTTTGTCATTCTGTCTCCTTCACACAAATAGAAAATGTAATTATTTGATCTATTAGTTGAATGGTTTGTGTGCGAGGCTGATTACGGCCCACTCAGATCGGAGCGCTGCAGTCTGTGAGGTTTGATGTTCACGTTGATATAAACGCTGCAGACTTCACACGTTCATTAAAAAGCACAACACATCTGGTTTTCTGTGATTCACCGCAACGGCCTCGACAGGAAACAGAACGTGTGCTTCTTACAACCATAAAACTGTATAACCCATGTTTATACTTTATAATAGATTGTAGAATGACTCCAAATGTAGTCACTCAGGATCATGTGTTCGATTCTAAATGCTTTGGGAGCAACTGGAAGGAGCTGCACTGTAAAAAGTACAACTCAAAATTGTTCACCTTAGATTTTTGCATTCACTGATAATAAAATGAGTGAAAATGACTGAAAATAAGCTGAGTGGAGAGCACTCTCACTTCTTGACACAAAGGTCCTGCATGGGTTCGAATCCCGGTCGGAATAGGGCCTTACTGAGTGGAATTTGCATGTTCTCTGTGTCTGCATAGGTTTCCTCCGAGTGCTCCAGTTTCCACTGCGCAAGTGACCTTGGTCTGTAAAATGCGCTATATAAATAAACATTGTGATCGTTTAATGTGGGGGCTAATTTAAACTCAAAATAGTAAGTTATTGTAGTGGACAGTAATCTGAACTTAAAAAAGTAAGTTTTTACAGACTTGAAATTTCCAAGTCTGAAATTTCCAACTAAAAACTTAGTTGGCAGATCTTGGAAAAGTTAGCTGACACAACTTAATAATTGTAGTTCTTCAAAACGTGATGAATTAAGTTAATGCCTTCAACTCAAAAATCCTTCGCAGCTGGTTGCTTTGAAATTTTGAGTTGAACTAACTTTTTATTTTTTACAGTGTGGTGAGCTACAGGTTAGAGACCCCTGAGTTATATTTATTTAGTCCCTAGAGTCCACGTGTAAATAAGAGTTTCCATCTGTAGTCCCAGGTTGATGTTTACAGACAGGACCGGCCAAAGATACAAATGTCTGTAAAAAGTGTGTTCTTGAATAAATGTCCACACAATAGTAATGTTTGTCTTGATTGGTGTTGTCTCTGTATTGTATCTTTTTAAAATAGCCTCTTTGGCTAATTCTGGATTTTTATCTCATGTTTAATCGTGTGTTTTATAAAATTGTATCGTCCCCTTTGAACAAAACAAAACTAAACTGTTTCCGTTTAGTTTCTTTCACATTTATCTTTGTCGCACAAACAGAATGTGTTTAAGAGCGTTTGGGAACATGGTGCTGCAGAGACGGCCAGCATCGTTACTGAAGCAGGAAGTAGCTCACACCGGAAAATCACTCACCTGCCCACAGACCCACCACCAACCACCCACAGACCCACCACCAACCACCCACAGACCCACCACCAACCGCCCACAGACCGACCACCAACCACCCACAGACCCACCACCAACCACCCACAGACCCACCACCAACCACCCACAGACCCACCACCAACCGCCCACAGACCCACCACCAACCACCCACAGACCCACCACCAACCACCCACAGACCCACCACCAACCGCCCACAGACCGACCACCAACCGCCCACAGACCGACCACCAACCGCCCGCAGACCCACCACCAACCGCCCACAGACGCACCACCAACCGCCCACAGACCCACCACCAACCACCCACAGACCCACCACCAACCACCCACAGACCGACCACCAACCGCCCACAGACCGACCACCAACCGCCCACAGACCCACCACCAACCACCCACAGACCCACCACCCACCGCCCGCAGACCGACCACCAACCGCCCACAGACCCACCACCCACCGCCCGCAGACCGACCACCAACAGCCCACAGACCCACCACCCACCGCCCGCAGACCGACCACCAACCGCCCACAGACCCACCACCCACCGCCCGCAGACCGACCACCAACCGCCCACAGACCCACCACCCACCGCCCGCAGACCGACCACCAACCACCCACAGACCCACCACCCACCGCCCGCAGACCGACCACCAACCACCCACAGACCCACCACCCACCGCCCGCAGACCGACCACCAACCACCCACAGACCCACCACCCACCGCCCGCAGACCGACCACCAACCGCCCACAGACCCACCACCCACCGCCCGCAGACCGACCACCAACCGCCCACAGACCCACCACCCACCGCCCGCAGACCGACCACCAACCACCCACAGACCCACCACCCACCGCCCGCAGACCGACCACCAACCACCCACAGACCCACCACCAACCGCCCACAGACCCACCACCAACCGCCCACAGACCCACCACCAACCGCCCACAGACCCACCACCAACCACCCACAGACCCACCACCAACCACCCACAGACCCACCACCAACCGCCCACAGACCCACCACCAACCGCCCACAGACCGACCACCAACCACCCACAGACCCACCACCAACCACCCACAGACCCACCACCCACCGCCCGCAGACCGACCACCAACCACCCACAGACCCACCACCAACCGCCCACAGACCCACCACCAACCACCCACAGACCCACCACCAACCACCCACAGACCCACCACCAACCACCCACAGACCCACCACCAACCACCCACAGACCGACCACCAACCGCCCACAGACCCACCACCAACCACCCACAGACGCACCACCAACCGCCCACAGACCCACCACCAACCGCCCACAGACCCACCACCAACCGCCCACAGACCCACCACCAACCGCCCACAGACCCACCACCAACCGCCCACAGACCCACCACCAACCACCCACAGACCGACCACCAACCACCCACAGACCCACCACCAACCACCCACAGACCGACCACCAACCGCCCACAGACCCACCACCAACCGCCCGCAGACCGACCACCAACCGCCCACAGACCGACCACCAACCACCCACAGACCCACCACCAACCACCCACAGACCCACCACCAACCACCCACAGACGCACCACCAACCGCCCCGCAGACCCACTACCAACCGCCCACAGACGCACCACCAACCGCCCACAGACCCACCACCAACCACCCACAGACGCACCACCAACCGCCCGCAGACCCACCACCAACCGCCCACAGACCCACCACCAACCGCCCACAGACCCACCACCAACCGCCCACAGACCGACCACCAACCGCCCGCAGACCGACCACCAACCGCCCACAGACCCACCACCAACCACCCACAGACCCACCACCAACTACCCACAGACCCACCACCAACCGCCCACAGACCGACCACCAACCGCCCACAGACCGACCACCAACCGCCCGCAGACCGACCACCAACCACCCACAGACGCACCACCAACCGCCCGCAGACCCACCACCAACCGCCCACAGACCGACCACCAACCACCCACAGACGCACCACCAACCACCCACAGACCCACCACCAACCACCCACAGACCCACCACCAACCACCCACAGACCCACCACCAACCGCCCACAGACCGACCACCAACCACCCACAGACGCACCACCAACCGCCCGCAGACCCACCACCAACCGCCCACAGACCCACCACCAACCGCCCACAGACCCACCACCAACCGCCCACAGACCGACCACCAACCGCCCGCAGACCGACCACCAACCGCCCACAGACCCACCACCAACCACCCACAGACCACCACCACCACCCACAGACCCACCACCAACCACCCACAGACCCACCACCAACCGCCCACAGACCCACCACCAACCACCCACAGACCCACCACCAACCGCCCACAGACCCACCACCAACCACCCACAGACCCACCACCAACCACCACCCACAGACGCCCCACCAACCGCCCACAGACCCACCACCAACCGCCCACAGACCCACCACCAACCGCCCACAGACCCACCACCAACCGCCCACAGACCCACCACCAACCGCCCACAGACCCACCACCAACCACCCACAGACCCACCACCAACCACCCACAGACCGACCACCAACCGCCCACAGACCCACCACCAACCACCCACAGACCGACCACCAACCACCCACAGACCCACCACCAACCACCCACAGACGCACCACCAACCGCCCACAGACCCACCACCAACCACCCACAGACCCACCACCAACCACCCACAGACCGACCACCAACCACCCACAGACCCACCACCAACCACCCACAGACGCACCACCAACCGCCCACAGACCCACCACCAACCGCCCACAGACCCACCACCAACCGCCCACAGACCCACCACCAACCGCCCGCAGACCCACCACCCACCGCCCACAGACCCACCACCCACCGCCCACAGACCCACCACCAACCGCCCACAGACCCACCACCAACCGCCCGCAGACCCACCACCCACCGCCCACAGACCCACCACCAACCGCCCACAGACGCACCACCAACCGCCCGCAGACCGACCACCAACCGCCCGCAGACCCACCACCAACCGCCCACAGACCCACCACCAACCGCCCACAGACCCACCACCAACCACCCACAGACCGACCACCCACCGCCCACAGACCCACCACCAACCGCCCACAGACCGACCACCAACCACCCACAGACCCACCACCAACCACCCACAGACCCACCACCAACCGCCCACAGACCCACCACCAACCACCCACAGACCCACCACCAACCACCCACAGACCCACCACCAACCGCCCGCAGACCCACCACCAACCGCCCGCAGACCCACCACCAACCACCCACAGACCCACCGCCCGCAGACCCACCACCAACCGCCCGCAGACCCACCACCAACCACCCACAGACCCACCGCCCGCAGACCGACCACCAACCGCCCACAGACCCACCACCAACCGCCCACAGACCCACCACCAACCGCCCACAGACCCACCACCAACCGCCCACAGACCCTCCGACCCCCACCCACCGTCCCTCAGCCAGCACACTATGACACAGAGCAGTCTTTCTCCCCTGAGCAGAGCGTGGGCAGAGATGATTCTCTAAAAACATTCAGTGTTTCTGTTTCAGTCCTGACACTGTTCCCAAACTCTGCTCCACTTCCACTTCATACAACAGAAGAGAGCTACTTTATACAACAGAAGAGAGCTACTTTATACAACAGAAGAGAGCTACTTTATACAACAGAAGAGAGCTACTTTATACAACAGAAGAGAGCTACTTTATACAACAGAAGAGAGCTACTTCATACAACAGAAGAGAGCTACTTTATACAACAGAAGAGAGCTACTTTATACAACAGAAGAGAGCTACTTTATACAACAGAAGAGAGCTACTTCATACAACAGAAGAGAGCTACTTCATACAACAGAAGAGAGCTACTTTATACAACAGAAGAGAGCTACTTTATACAACAGAAGAGAGCTACTTTATACAACAGAAGAGAGCTACTTTATACAACAGAAGAGAGCTACTTTATACAACAGAAGAGAGCTACTTCATACAACAGAAGAGAGCTACTTCATACAACAGAAGAGAGCTACTTCATACAACAGAAGAGAGCTACTTCATACAACAGAAGAGAGCTACTTTATACAACAGCAGAGTCAGAGAGCTACTTTATACAACAGCAGAGGCAGAGAGCTACTCCCCTTTGCAGTCGTAATAAAATCTATGCAATAATGAAGAAAAGAGAGAACACGTGTAAATAAACTATAATACACAGTGTTGGGTACGTTACTTTGAAAAAGTAATTAGTTATAGTTACTTCTCCCAAAAAGTAACTGAGTTACTTCTCCCAAAAAGTAACTGAGTTACTTCTCCCAAAAAGTAACTGAGTTACTCTACTATAAAAGTAACTAGTTACCAGTAAAAGTAACTATTGCATTACTTTTTCGTTTCGTTCTGGAACATGATGTGCACTCGACGTGCACAGTTTTACCTTTAACCTTTAACCTCAGTGAGTTTAAATAGTGCTGATATTTCCATCTGGAAAAGTCTGTTTTTCTGCTGAAGTCCTGTTCACTCTTCATCTCTCTCTGAGCTGTAAGCACTAAACACCAACACGCTCCACTATGAATGTGGAAACACCGTCCAAGTGGAGGTTGTTGATATGGGGTTGGTGCTGTGCTGTCGGCGGCGGCGGCGGCTTCACTGAGATGCTCTTTAGCGACTAGCTTAATTATTGAGTGTTGACGCTGCAAGTGTTTAAAAGGTTCGAGGATGAGTTGGTTGCGGTGGACAATCGCTTGCTGCCCGAGCAAAGCTTGCACTCCACGACAACGTTTTTATCTTTTTGACTTATAGAGTTAAAATAGTGAGCATATCTCCACCGGTAAAACTAATTCCTCTCCTCTGGCTCTGCCGTGTTGCTTTACAAACAAACTCGCTCATGTGCTCATCGTGACGTTGTCATTCTCCGGTGACTAAACTAGCGCAGCTAGCATGTTTGCCGATGCGGAAGTATCGTCTAATAATAGAACAAACTGATGCCGCACCTCCGTGAACACATACTGCTGTTATATAAAGTCACCTCCGTGAACACATACTGCTGTTATATAAAGTCTCCTCCGTGAACACATACTGCTGTTATATAAAGTCACCTCCGTGAACACATACTGCTGTTATATAAAGTCACCTCCATGAACACATACTGCTGTTATATAAAGTCACCTCCGTGAACACATACTGCTGTTATATAAAGTCTCCTCCGTGAACACATACTGCTGTTATATAAAGTCACCTCCGTGAACACATACTGCTGTTATATAAAGTCACCTCCATGAACACATACTGCTGTTATATAAAGTCTCCTCCATGAACACATACTGCTGTTATATAAAGTCACCTCCGTGAACACATACTGCTGTTATATAAAGTCTCCTCCGTGAACACATACTGCTGTTATATAAAGTCACCTCCGTGAACACATACTGCTGTTATATAAAGTCTCCTCCGTGAACACATACTGCTGTTATATAAAGTCTCCTCCATGAACACATACTGCTGTTATATAAAGTCACCTCCGTGAACACATACTGCTGTTATATAAAGTCTGTGAAGGTCTCAGACACAGAGACGCTGCAGAGCTGCATTATTGGAGAAGAACTTTACAAAAAAAGCCGCTAGCTTAGCTCCACTAGGCCAGGACTTCTGGTCTGAACCAGTGGGGGCGGGTCCCGGCTCAAGTGGCCAAAAGGACGTGCGCTGACATGCTGCAATACCACCCCGGGCCGATGGGGGTGGACCCAGAATAAGAAGCTGACCTCTCGAAAACGTCTTTACAGGATGGTCCAAAAGTTGGCTCTTGGCTAGAGCTGCAACTAACAATTATTTTGTAATCGATTAATCTATCGATTATTTTTACGATTAATCGAGTAATCGCTTGGCTGTAAATTGTGTAGAAAAAAATTATTTTTTCATCACAAAAAGCTAAAGTGGCAACACTCGAGGACGTATTGATGGCGTAAACTTAAAGTAAATGTTTGTAACAGGCTCTTTGTGCTAATTCTGCTCTGATTGGATGAGACAGACAGATATTCATGAAATTATAAAAACAAAGTCGGTTTTAATCAAAAATACTACATTTTCATGTCATTTTTGCTCTGTCTGAGTCCGTGTGAACCAGAAAACGATTAATCGATTACTAAAATAGTTGTCGACTATTTCAATAATCGATTAGTCGTCGATTAATCGATTAGTTGTTTCAGCCCTACTCTTGGCCCAAAGCTCCGTTCCACATGTGTGTCAATGCTGAGGAGAGTGTTTTCGACCAGTCTAGTTTAATCGTTGTGAATTTTTGAAGTCTCTCTTTTAACCCTTGTATTATGTTGAAAAAAAATGACATTGATTATGTTGCGGGTCATTTTGACCCGTACTGTGTAAATGCACTCAAAACAGTCAAGAAAACAGGTTAAACCAATAACAACTTTATATAAATATTTAGAAAAGTGACATACAATACATTTTTAATTCCAACGCTATATTTAAGAAATATTTAGTCTAATCTTCTTGTCCTCCTTTCGGGTCAAAATGACAATTCTTCCCTCCCTCTTTCCTCCTGCAATGCTTTCTCCTTCCTTTTTCTCATCCTGTTTTCCTTCTCTCTGTTCATCCTCCTCTATTCCCTTCTTTTCTCTTCCTTCCTTCCTTCCTTTCTCCCTTCTTTCCTTCCTACCTTCCTTCCTTCCTCCCTTCCTCTTTATTTGACCAAAGATTCGTCCTCTGAATCCTCCTTATTGTAGGAAAATTGACAATCTGGATCAGCAATAACATTGTCCTCTGTATCTGAAAAATCCTCTGTTTCTGAAATCTCTTCCTCTACATCATTATCCCAGTTAAAAATCTGTGATAAAGCCTCCTCAGATGTCATCCTTATGGAGCGCATTTTTGGTGAGTTTGTCTAAAGCCTAGCGCACATCGACGGAGTAACTGGAGACAACTAGTTGCAAGGCGGCTTTTGGCAACTGAGAGGAGATGATGGGAGATGATCAGTTGTTATCAGATGTGAGCGCTCTTACAACTGGAGATAAACAGTCGATCTCTGGATTCAGTCAGTTGCCCGTGTTCTACTTTTTGGCAACTAGTTGTCCTCCAAAGTTGTAGATCCAGAGCTATCACCCGATGTGCGCGCTCCGTGGCGCGCTCCAACAACATGTGTGTATTGCGTCCTCTACAGTTTATGTCAGAAAACACACTGTAGTTGAGGCCAGTTGCTGTCGATGTACGCGCTGATATTCCCGAGACTGGCCTGATACAGGAGCGGCTCATTTTCGCCAGATTGTCGATGTGTACGGGGCAGCAACTCAAAGGCGACGGATATAATCAGTTGCCAGTCCGATGTACGTTAGGCAAAAGAGATGACATGAGAACAGTGACAAGGACAAGTGTGAGAAAGTTCCCTCTCTTCACACACCTGGCTCTCAGAGGCAATCAAAATAAAATGTCAAAGAGACATGTTTTTTTGGATCTGAACAACTATTTACCCACATTAAAGCGTCTGGGTCAAAATGACCCGCAACATCATCTTTGTATACAAACTCTGCACAGACATTCCACTGCACATCAAAGTGTCCAGATTTTACACACCAGTTCATGACCCTAGATGAGGAAAAGTCACCAAATTTCAGCAAGAAAAATAAAGGATAACAAGTACTTTGATCAACACAAAAACTGAAATGGGTCAAATTGACCCTTAACATAATACAAGGGTTAAATAAATGGGGCTCGTGCAGCTGACGCATGCACAGATGTGTTTTTTCACATTTTCCAGCCCTCGCGGCCATTTTGAATCACTCCATGAAAGCCCAATTTTTTGGCCCATTAGTTAGAACGGCGGAGACAGGCGTGACTACGTTTGTTAATATTTACAGTCTATGGTCAGAACTCGCCGTAAGACGGCACTCACGTACCACTGCTACCACTCGCTGCCATCTTAGTTTTGAGTCTGACAAATCGACGTGCATATTTTGTATCGACGTATTTTTTGCGTCGGGGTCATCGATTACGTCGATGCGTTGTCTCAGCCCTAGTTATAACCTTATATTTTGACTTATAATAGATTTGTAATGTATCCATTCAGGATCATGTGATCAATTCTAAATCTTTTGGGGAGCTACATGAAAGGGGCTGGTGAGCTACTGGTAGCTCCTGAGCTATAGAAGGTTTGTTTACACTCTTAAAATGAATCATCATTCATGAATGAATGAATGAATGAATGAATGAATGAGTTAGCCTGTGCGCGGTGAATGTAGTTGCAAAACTTAAATTTGTTCATGAATTTTTATTCCCTCATCCCCGGCTTCCCGTTCTACGTTTACCGTAGGTAACAGCATCAAAGGCCAACGACTTTACCGCGGCCGTTTTTTGCTGTTCTTTTCCGAAGAATTAGAAAAAAAACTTAATCCGTCCCCAGCGGGCCGTACAACCGACCACACAACAGGAACAGACTATTTGATTTAGTAAAACCTCTCTCCAAGCGTCTAAAAATAGCTAACTCTGTAGCATCCAGGTAGCTTTCTGTGCTGTAGTGCCACAGTCACGTGACCGGAGCG